CAACAAAGGACTTGAAGCTGGCAGTGATGCGGGGAAGGACAAAGAACTTAAAGATGGTGGCACAGAGGGGTGGGGGTAGCAAGCTGAGAGAGATGAGAGACTAAGGTTCTCCGGTGGATCTGAAAAGGAAGAAGTACTGGGCAGAGTAAGAGGCTGACAGTCTTTAACTGGAGATCGGGCCAGGAGAACCTGAGTTGTTGAACACTTAACATAAAGGTCTGGGTGGGAGCACAAAGTCTAAAAAGCCTGCACATATGGGATTTCACCCCACTCTCCACTCTGGTGGCAATAATTAGTCAAGTCGGTGAGGAGGCCAAAATTGAAAGTTCCCTCAGGGGGCCATCAAGATTGATTGTCCAAGGGATACCTGAGGCCTGGCCTCAGAGCAAAAAAAGACTAGCTTCCATTTGTGAACTTCTCAGGACAAATATAGAGTAGCCAAATTAGAAATGAGACACCGCAATGGGGTCTGAGCCTCTGCTTTTGAGGGCTGGTTCCCCATGTTTGTGTCACTCTTCCAACTAATCTCGCTGAGATGGGCTCCCAGCATCCCAAGCGTGCCAAGTCAGGGGAGACGGCCTGGGAGCCTGGGTTAGGGACGTCTCTCACACCACAGGGCCAGGGGTGGGCCGGATGCCCACCGAGGGTGGGCCGAGTGCCTTAACATGGACATAGTTACGATTTCGAACGGACCAGGTGAAACAGAGTTAGGAAGGGAGACAGACCGGGAAAAACTGAGGGACTCACCAGAAAATAGTCCACGCAGCAGAGAGCAGGCTGAGGTCCCAGGTCGGGGAAGGAGGGGGCAGGGCCGCTGATGGCCTGTCGGGGCTGCACGCTCACGCTCTTTCCCAGGTTTTGGCACCAAATGTAAGATAAATTCTAGCTGAAATAAGCAGGTGACGAGAGGCAACAAAGGGCTAGGCAGTTTATTTGAGCTCAATTCCCAGGCAATGTTCCCCAGTCTACGGAAATGGAGGCTGGGGAAGTCGCACTCAGCAGGGCAGGCAGCGAGTTTTTAAATAAGGTAGGGGGAGGCAGAGCTTAGATTTACAGCAGCACAAGGATTGGCTAGTCTAAGGCACATTTTTCAGGTTGGGAGGGGGCAACAGCTGGGGACTTTGGCACGCCATCAGTGTCCGACGTGCTCACTCCTCCTTACAGTGCCTCCAACCTTACAGTGACTTTATAATGTGTCAACTTAGCTATAGTGAACTGTATTTCCCAGAATGAACTTCCACCTAGGTTTCCAATTAGGGTGGGCCACAGCAGACGTTTTTGCCTGAGATTTGGAGGGTGGAAGAAAAGCAGTGATTATACTGGTTTTTACACTTCCAAGGTCTAGACAGGATCTTTGTAGCCCCTGCACTTCATTGCTGATCTTCTGGCTCGTCTAATTGATATGGGGTAGCAGCCAGGCCTGCAGCTGCTCCACAGTCCCTGGATCCTCCTCAGGCTTCTCTGACTCCTGCACCAGATAACAAAGGGCACCAGCTTCCAACACCTGCAGGACACCCACATCATCAAGTTTGGTGGCAGTGGGAACTGACATGAGTTCCAGTTGGTCCTCAAGCGTTCTAGCTTAGGATCATGGATTCCAGCTTGTCCTTTCTCTCCCTACTTTATATACATCTTCCCTTCCCAGCTCCTGACCTGTGGACTTTAAGCTCCAGCATCAGATACAGAAAAATAGCCTTACAAAGGCTGCTTAATAGTTATCCAAAGTTGAATCCCTGTAACAAATCCTTTCTGCTTCTCTGACTGAACCCTGATACAACAGCATAGGTATATGTATTTAATTGCATGTGAAACTGCCAAACTGTTTTCTGAAACGGTTGTACTCACGCTCCCATCAGCAGAGTATGAGGGTGCCAGTTGCTTCACATACTCATCAATATAAAAGTTAATTCCATAAAAACACAATAGTGCAGACCAAAGCAGAATAGCAAGATTATCTTCAATCTCTGCTATGAACCATGCCATTGCGGAGGACAATTTCACAATATCTATAAAGTTTACAAATGCATATATTCTCTGACCCACAACCCCAGTTCTATCATGCAGATACCTTGCACACAATACTAAATTATGAGTGTATGAGGTTATTGTTGCATTATTGTTTTTAATAACAAAAGGTTAGAAACAACTCACATGTGTATAAATACAGGACTGATTAAATAAATTTGTTACAGACAATAGAATTTGATACAGCTTTAACAACAGAGGAAGTTTTCAAGTTACTGACATGGAAAAATCTTGTACTAATCAAAGTTCTCCAGAGAAACAGATCCAATGAGGGAAAGAGATTTATTATAAGGAATTAGCTCACGTGATTATGGAAGCTGGCAAGTTGCAAGATCTGTAGGATGAGTCAGCAAGCTGGAGATCCAGGAGAGTTGATGGTTTGGTTCCAGTCTAAAGGCTGGCAGTCTCAAGACACAGGAAGAGTCAATGTTTCAAAGGCAGGGAAAAAAAAAAGCCAGTTCAAAGGCCATCAGGCAGGATAAATTCCCTCTTATTCAAGCTAGCCCTTTTATTCTATTCAGGCCTTCAACTGGCTGGATGAGGCCCATCCACACTACAGAGAGCAATCTGTTTTACTCAGTCTATCCATTTAAATGTTAACCTCATCCAAGAACACCCTCACAGAAACACCCAGAATAAAGTTTGACCAAATACCTGGGCACCCTATGGCCTAGTCAAGTTGGCACATAACACTAACCATCACATATCTACAAGGGATCTCGTTGAGAAGAAGAACAAGATGCTGACCAGAGTGAGTAGTATGCTTCCCCTCTGTGTTTAAAAAAGAAAAAAGAGAAGCAAGATAGCAATAAGTGTGCATATTTGCTTGTATTCACCTAAAGACACTGGAAAAATACAGAAAAACTAAAAATTATCTATTGAAGGTGTGTGGGGACCAAGGAGACTTCGTGGGTTTTTAAATTATTCCATTATATGCGTTTGATCTATTTAAAACATTAAGGAACAAAAAATTTTAAGTACTGTTTTATATTCCATCTCCCCTTCTAGGATTGTGAACACAGGGGGGGAGAAATTTTTATACACATCTTTGTGTCCCTGTCATTGAGTACATAGTAGACAATAAACATTTGAGGAATCAATGAATGGATGAACCAGATGAAACCAGATTCAGTGTGGATCAAATAGGGGAGAAGGGTACAGGGAGCAGCAGGGGAGAAATATGGCAGTGGCTGTCAGAAGGGAAGTTTGGGGAACAAGGAAGATATTTAAAGAAGAGTTACAGAATTATAATGTGTAATACAATCCACCTTCATATTTATTCCCAAGAAATAAGAAATAGTCAATAAAATTCCCCATTGATTTGGGGTTTGATTTGTAGGGTTTTAAGATATGATTATAGGTTGAGACAGACTCAGGCATAGCTGCATACTAGGAATAGGGATGAGGGGACTCAAGGAAGAGGAACCTCTAGGACCTGGCTTAGTCTCTGCCGTGGAGGAGGCCAGCAGAGTGTTGAGGGGTTGACTGGTCACCAAGCCTGCATTCTGAGCCCATCGTGCTGCTGTCGGACAGTACATGCCCTGCCCCACCTCCTGGTCCACAAACCATTCCTACAGACTCCACGCACATGCACAAGCCTCTGGGTATGGTCCATGGCTAAAATGTTCAGAGAACAGAACCCTGGAGAGCCAGTGAAGACTATGCAAAGATAGTGGTGCTAGAGCTGTGGTCAGTATATGTGAAGGGCAGGTGGTTATTTTGGGGGAAGGCAGAGTCAGGGTGAAGTCAGTGTCAACTTAAGACCAGGCTTTGTGCAGGGAAGGAGCCCAGACTAAGGTCAGGAGGGGTGATCAATTTTTATTTATTATTTTAGGAACTCAGATAAAAAGAATTGGACTACACATAATAATGATTCATGACATCCTCTTCCCACTTGTCCATAAATAGCCCACTTATGAACATCTGTACAACCACCACCTGTCCCAAGAACTATAACATTACAAATAACATATCCACTCGGGCTTCTTGCATATGTGCTCTCTGCTTCCTCTTGGAGGGAACCATTGTCCTGTATTTTATCCTTTCATTGCTTTTCTCCTTGTGAGAGACAGCTTCTAAAATGGTTCCTAAGGATCCTGCCTCCTGGTATTCACACCCACGTGTACCTCTCCACTTGCATGTGGGCTGTACCTCATGACTTACTTCTAATAAACCAGAATATGTCAAATGGGATGGATGTCACTCTGTGATTACATTAGATAAGACTGTAGCTTTCATCTTGTTAGCAGACTCTGTTAACTCTCTCCATTGCTGGCTTTGATGAAATAAGAGCACACGTGGCTAGGAAATGGGGGCAGCCACCAGCCAACAACCAGCAAGAAACTAAAGCCCTCAGTCCCACAGCCCTCAAGGAACTCAACTCTGTCAACAACCAAGTGAACTTGGAAGTGAGTCCTTCCCCAGTTAAGACTTTAGATAAGACCACAACTCTGGCCAACGCCTTGATTGCAGCCTTGTGAGAAATCTTGAAACAGAACACCCAGCTAAGCCATGCCTGGACTCTTGACCCACAGAAAATATGCGATAAAAATGTTGGGAGTCAAACTTGGCCTAAGTCCATAGAACTTGGGATCAATCTATGATCAGGCATGGGAGTCATACAAGGGACAGAATTAGCGGTCAGTCCAAGGGCAGGTTAAGGGTGATTGTATAGCTATGTTTAGAGAGAATCTGATGCCTGGGTTTGGGGTTGGGTTGGACAGAGTTGGAGGACATTGTAAGAGTGAGTTTGGGGATCAGTCCAAGGTCAGAGTTGGAAGTCGGGCTGTCCTGGTACATAAGACCTGACCTCTGTGATATCAAGCAGTGGTCACCCAGGGCCCAGCAACCCACAAAATGAGAACCATTCTAGGCCTTTGTAGTTCTTTTGCTCAAGGGATGGGGGGCAGCACAAGGAGGGCAGGAACTCACTGTCTTCAGGGATCCAGGCAGAGAGAAAGGGCGGAAGCAGGAAAGAGAGCACAACACCTTTAATGCAGGCAGCCCTGCCCCATATCCCCGAGTCATTCTCAGAGATCTCCTGTAGGACAGGAGGGTGACTGGCATAGGCACAGCCATGTCTTCCCCACTCCTGACTGCGCCCACTCCTCACCCCCTCCTCTCCAGCTGCTGCACTCTCCAGCCTTGAATTGGGTCCCCGGTGAGTGCCCAGGAGGGGCAAGGGACTCCCTCAGCTGCCTCCAGGAGCTTTCCCCATGGCCCAGGGTGCAGAGAACGAAACCGGATGGAGACGCTGCTGTCCTCAACGCTGGGTGGACACCCGGTTCTAGGGGTGTAGATCAAGCTGGGGCACCGCCCCCTGAGGCCCAGGGTAGGGAGCACCGAGATGGAGCCCCTGGTGTCGGACATTGCTTTGGAGTGCATTCCAGGTCTCTGCATGTGGCTTCTAGGTTCTGGAAAGCGGTCTGTTCTCCTGACCCGGATGGAGTGGAAGGAGGCGGCTCAGTCCAGGAGCTCCACTCGGGGAATTCCTGTCCCAATGCCCCCCACGCTCACCCCATCCCAACAGAGAGGCAGGCTCATGTCCGAGGAGGCTCATGGGAGCGGCTGGCTCCGCCCGCCCATTAGTCCTTCCGTCGGTGGGTGCTTCAGTCGCGGCATCTGGGCTCTAGCGGGACTGGGGCGTCCCCTCGCGGCCCGGGCTGCTGCTCACCGCTGCTTACGCTCCGCCTGCTGGAGCCTCCGGGAGAGGTCGTCGATGCGCACGTTCTTGAGCTGGAGCAGGTGCTCCAAGCGCCTCACTTTCATCTGCAGGACCTGGACCGCGCGGCGCAGAGGTCAAGCCCAGCGGCCGGCTGCCTCTGTCCCCGCCCCTGCAGGCCTCAAGCCCCCTGCGCCTTCCAGTGTGTCCTCACCTGCACGGTCTCCTGCGAGGCCAACAGCTCCTGCTCCTTTTCAGCGATCTGGAGGACGAAGCTAGGATCGCCCTGCAGCGCCTGGCTATACCCCGGAGGTCGGGACGCCGGTAGCCGGCCCGCCCTGGGGTGTAACGCAGCTTAGTGGAGGCCTGGGCATCGGGCTCCATCCTCACCCTTTCATTGCCCCTCGGCCGGGCCTTCTCTTGTCCCCTCCCCTCGTCACCACCTTTCCTACCTTTTCAGGAGCAGCTGTGTCAACCCTCACCTCCCAGCCCCATGTAGCGAGAGCACCAGGTCTGCTGAGGTCAAGAGCGCGCTTCCTTACCTGAGCTGCCCACCTCCCTGGGTATCCGGGGCATCTTCCCCCCGAGCTTTCTGGGACAAACCTGAGAGGAGGTAAGTGGAAGCATAACCACGCTGGAGTCCTATTTTCCTGTGTTCTCCCCTGCCACCTCCCTAACATCCCCCATGTCCCCCATACACATGCACCCCTGCCCCATAGAAAGGAAGGACTGGAAAAAACTGAGGAGGAGGAAAAATAAAGGTAACTTTACCCACATCCATGTAGCCAGTGCCATCCTGGGGAGCCAGCTCCTGAAAGAACCCCTGGTGTCAGCTGTGAGCTTGGCCTCGCCCATCCCCAAGGAGCCCGGAGACCCACGCCCCTTCTGTGGTCCCTCAAGTCTGGCTCCCTTTGGCAAGGCACCCTTCTCCCACACTTATCGCCAAGGTGAGGCTTCTACTGCCTGGGAAGCTCCCTCAGAGCATTGAGAGAAGCGTGAGAGGGGTGGCACCTGTAAGGAGCCCACGCCCTGCTTCTTGCGCCTCTTCCGCTCCTCCAAGCGCTGCCTCAACGGAATGAGCACCAGCTCCACCACGCCTGGGGCGCACTGCACGATCTTGCGCATTACATCCTCTGGGACCGAGAAGTTCAGCTTGTTCAGCACCTTCCTGGAGGGTAGACACAGGGATGGCCAACTGGGTCTTGGGGGAATGAGGTGAGGGGGTAGGGAAGAAGGAAGGGACCCCAGCAGTTGCAGTCCTGAGTGCGTAGCCCTGGGGGAATGGAAAGGCATGGCATGTGAGCCCCCGTTTCCTTGTTGCCTCTCCAGTGCAAAGTCTCTTGATTTTGTTAGCAGACTGATTCTGTCTGCGTTGCCCCTCCCGACCTTGCCCCCATTGCAGCCCCAGCCTGGGCTGCGGAGACCATAGGAAGAGGAGGAGGCTGGGCCAGCCCTTCTGGCATCCCAGGGTAAGGACTGGAAATCCCGGTAGTGTGCCCGGGTACTATGCTACCTGTTCAGGTGACCCCAGTTGCTGAGCTTCTGCTGGACAGAGTTGGCAGGGACATAATTGTGCATCTCCACCATCTTGGGGAAGTAAAACTTGATGACTTCTGCGACCAGGACTGAGGGAGGGGGAGTAGAAGCAGACTTGGAAGGTAGGGGGATGGGTGAAGTAGGGGTAAGGAGAAGAAATGGGTGGGATGAGAGAATCAGGGGTAGCAAAGTGGTGGAGCGAAGTGGAGGGATGGAGGTGCAGGATAGGATGATAAGGAGGGAAGGGTGGTGGAGGAGAGGGAAGGGGGTTAATGAAAGCAAGATTAGTGATCATCTGGACCCTAAGCCTCCAGCATACCCTAGGGGAGCTTCATCTCTCCAACTCTTTAGCTGTATCCCATTAACTCAGATCATATGAAAACTAAAGTATCTGGTCCTCTAGTGGAGAATGAGTCTCCAACAGAGCCCTTTAACAGTCTGGAGCTCCACCCTAGGTATTCACATGGATACAGACACACTCCAACTCCAAAGTCCCAGGAGACAGTCAGAGACTCATACAAGCAGATACATATAAAATTCCCCTCATATATGGACATCCCATAGAGTGTGTAGATACACAGGCCACACACACAGTCACATCTATAGTGTGCATACACACACACACACTACAGAGATACACAGACACATACTTCCATCACTGGAATTCCAAGAGACAGTCACCAGCAAACACACACAAGCACAGAGTCACATATGTACCAATATACACATACAGAGATGCACACTGTCATTAAAATCCCAGGAAACAGTTATAGACATACAGACACCTACACAACCACAAAGACACACATATACACACAAGGACCACTCTACATCCATACAGGACAGAATGTGTCAGAATACACATGAACACACACATGCTCAGGCTCCCACAAGACATACATATAGAATACAGCAATGAGCACACACACACACAGAGATGCACAAATACATCATAGACGCATCTTAGTCATTAAAGTCCCAGGAGAGGGTCACAGACTCACATACAGACACATAAACACAAACACACACCCACACCACACGCATAAAGGTAAAACATGTAGACTTATATATGGACACATATGCCCATATTCCCACAGATGGAGATAGAAAACACAACTTTTATAATTGAAGTCTTACAGGACACCGCCCAAACACACACACAAGCACATGAATGTAAGCTGACCTTACCCACGCATATACAGAACATGTAGGCACACACGGACACACAGCACACAGGCACGCGCACACACTGGGTTGCACACCTCCGTCACTGAAGTCTCGGGAGAGATTTCTCTTGGGCCGAGACAGAGGGATGTTGTCTACCCACAGGTACAGTTGGTGCAGCGCCTCCTCGTCCACGCTGGCCGCCATTGGCACCCTGGGCAAGGCCAGGCAGTTCCAGCCGTGCAGCGTCCAGCACCAAGTTCACGATCCCTCACAATCCCTCAAACGCCTCTTCTGTGCTACGGAGAGCGCCCAGACCCGCCTCTGCTTCTCTAACCCAGAGATTTACGTCCCCGCTGGGAGCAGCCATATTGTTTTCTTAAACCATGGCAACCATCCTTGACGCGTAAGGAACGGGGGCTTCTGGGAGTTGTAGTTTTCTCTCTCTCCTCTCATGCCCCAACTTTGAAAAGGCGAGTAGGGGGGCTTGACTTCTCAGCCTCCCCAAAGAAATCACCACTGCACCCACACCACCTACTGACAAACCCCTGGCCCATTCTGGGGCCTGCCAAAGCAAACCAGGCCTTCAGAAATCCTGCACCTCAAGGCTGGGATCCCCTTTCTGGGTACTTTAGCAATCAGTCCTAAGTGAAGGCAACATTCCAGTGTTTGTCAGCCTTATGTGGGTGTCCATTATTAATCATCACCTGCTTCCCATCTGGAATGTGTGATAGGCTGTGTGACAGTGCCTTCTTGCTGAGTCCTTCCTCAAAGATCTGTATTCATAGGGTAATCACAACTCCCACCCCTTCCCCCAGCAGTGTCCTGGTGGGGCATTTAATATGTAACCAAGACTCCCAGGGAGAACACCAGAACTCAAGGCAGGGCCTTGGGCAGGTCAGTTAACTCCTTGACCCTATTTCCTCCTTTGTGTAGTGAGGATCTATCTCACTTACTTATCTAAATGGAGTAATGGGGAGAATGGGAAGGGCATTTACAGACCTGTATTTGTATGGAGATTGGCGGAAGGGGAGTTGATAGGTATGAGAGCTGCAAGAGCCCCTGCAGACACTTCCACACCCACCTCCCTCCAAAGAGCTATTCTTCCATGGGTTAGAAACTGATTTGTCATCGGTTCCATTTACTGGACCTCTCTGTTTCTGTGTTCTCATGGTTTTGCCTACCTCTTAGGGGCTCTGTGAACAGCCAAAGTATTTAGCATAGTACCTGGCACACAGCAAGAGCCCTATTAACATCAGCTGGTGTTACCTTTTTTCCAGCAAGAGGTGTTCTCGCAGGCAGGGGAAACATTGAAGTGATAGGCCTATAGTTTTTGAGGTGAGGAACTTGGGTTGGAAGGCTACTGCTCCCACCTGCTTACACCAGAGCAGGCCACGGGGTAGGCTGGGCTTCCGTAGGCCTTTCCGATCTCCTCCAGGGATCTGATGGGGATGGGGATGGGGGATGATGGTAAGGGGAATCTTAACTATTTTTTGCTGTCACTTAGTCTCTACAAAGCATTCAAGTTTCAATCCCTAGAGGGCATCTCTGAGTGCCAGAAGTGTGGGAGGCCAAGTGTGGAACAGTCACTCCACCTTCTTTAGTCATATATAGTGGCCTTGCTTTTCTAGAAGGGAACATACACAGGCAGGCAAGGGACAAAAGGTAACCTGGATTTCACCCCCCTTAACATTCCAGGGTGGAGAGGAGCTGCAAGGAGATGGTAGGGAGGGGGCCACACGGGTGATATGCCAGCCCAGTTAAGGTGGGAAAACCGGTTTGGGGCCCAGCTCAAGTTCAGGCCCTCCCTAACTGGAACCGCTGGGGCCTGTGCGCCTCAGTGAGGGCAGGGAGGTAGGAGCTGAGCCCTGAGCAGAGGAGCCTGCCTTCACCTTTGGACTGGGGGGCCCCCTGGAGGGCACTGCACAGGGAGTTGCAAGTTCATTCTCAGCCTCTTGGGGGTGCAATCAGTCCCCATAAATTTTATCTTCCTCCTGCCACTGTCCCCAAGGATAGCTACTAGGCTTGGAGATGCCAATCACTGCAAGGCCTAAAGAGCTCCCTCTTAAGGCATCAAAGGTCAATCAAGAGATGTCCTGTATACCCCTTCAAACTCCAAACTGGACCCAGGAGCTGCCCCAACACCCCTTTTCTCTGCCTTCTGGCCCCACTCCTACAAGGACCTATTTTATAGGCCCTTGATAGGCCTTGTTCCCAGGTGAGGTACCAATAGTTTAAATTGGTCCAAGGGACTCTTGGTTCTCTCCCTCCTGTCCTAGCCAAGTAACCCCAAACTTGTCTCTGACCCCAAAGTGGTGCAAGACCAGCTTCCTCACACCCACACCCTCGCAAGTGCATTGAAGACCCTGTCCTCACCAAGGCTAGAAAACATTTAGGTATGGTGGTGGCCCCTCACCCCAGGCAGGGCCTAGGGCTGTGGCCACCCTCTCAACATTTGCTTCCATGTTCCACCAGTCAAAGGGAACCAGGGAAGAACATGTTCCCAAGAGAGACGCAAGCCCAGACCATGAAGGATGCACCCTTGGCTGTTAAAACGTTCACCCTCACAAAAGGGGGGTGGACGGATTTATTGAATTCAAACTGGGAAAGGAGAGGCTGGAAGGCTGGACTCTGGGCCCAGCCCCAGGCCCCCTGCCCAGGATAGGGCCCTGCCAGAGAGGGAGGTGAGGCAATGGGGCCTGCAGCTGTCCACAAGGGAAGCGCCCATTATGCCCCTGGAGGGCCTCTTGGGAACCTCCAATCTGGAAAGAAAACCAAGGGCGAAAGTAACATGGACTGGGCCAGAAAAAAAGGGACTGGGAGGTGGGGAAGCAGGCAGAAGCAGCCTCAGGAACCTGCGGTGAGTTAGACTGTGCTTTTGAGGTGGCTGGGGGATGAGGGAGGGATGTGGGGGGCTGCCAGCCTTGTGGGGGCCTAGGCTGGACTTCCTCTGGAGCCCTTCCCAGAATGGCTTTGGGGTCCCCTCCACCAAATACTGGTGTGGATGGCAGAGGGGAGAGGCACTCTCTGGCCGGGAGCGTCCAGGGCCCACCCCTGGCTGCTGCTGTGACCTAGTCCACGATGGCATGGTGTGGTAGCACCGGACAGCTCCCCACCCTCCCCACCTGGTCCCCCAAGCCAAGGGACAAATGGGGAGGAAAGAGGACTCTGAGAAAGAGGCAATAAGCAGGCAGTGAGGCTGATCCCAGCCCCAGGCCCTACCAAGGTGACTGGGCCTATCACAGGATCTGAAGAACATCACTGAAGAATCTGGGGCTCCCCACTCTGGCTCCATCCACAGTGGCTGCCTGGAGGGTCCTTTGCCCTGGGCTGGTGCTGCCACATCCTGGTCAGGGGCATAGCTAGGCCCAGTGGCTCAGCTTTGGTGTCCAAGACCCCGAACTCCTGCCTGCCTGGCGTGGTTCTTCCTGGTCACATGGACCAGATCATGTTCCAAGTGGAGGATGTGGCTCTGCACTCGATCATCAATGGGGAAGGAGGTCAGATACCTCTTGACCATAGCAAAGTAAGCCATGGCCTCTCCGAAGCTGGGCACAGGTACCTCATCACCATCCTCCTCATCTTCATCATCTTCATCCTCCTCGTCCTCATCTTCCTCCTCTTCCTCACTGTCCGACTCCGAGTCCTCCTCACCTTCCAGGAAATGGAGGGTAGGGCACTGGGCCTCCTCCTGGGCACCATAGCCCCCGAAGCTGCCACCGGCCTCCACTACCCCCTGGGCCCAGTCCTCGGCCTCCAGGCCCTCAGAGGAGCTCTCTTCCTCCTCGTCGTTGTCATCATCCTCACTGTCCTCAACATCACCCTCCTCTTCCACCTCCTCCTCCTCCCCCAGCTCCCCCCCTGCCCCCCCTTCCTCCTCCTCGCCCTCCTCTTCCTCCTCCTCCTCCTCCTCCTCCTCCCCGTCACCCTCCTCCTCCTCCTCTTCCTCCTCCTCCTCTTCCTCCTCCTCCTCTTCCTCCCCCTCACTCTTGAGGGCAGTAGTGATGGTGGCATTTGGGCCACCCCCAAAGCCAGCCTCACGAAAGCAGGCAGCTATGTCAGAAGGCTCCACTCTCTGCCAGGCTGCGGCCACAAAGTGCAGGGCCTCCATAAGGCCCAGCTGCAGGCCTGAACGATCCTGGCCCTCCAGTGCGGCCATGGCCTTGAGCAGCATAGCCTGGCGGTAGTGGCCCTTCACCTGCTGGACCACTCCCCGCTCCAGCGGCTGCACTGCACCCGGAGGGAAGAAGGCCAGCTGTACATGTCGCAGGCCTGAGGTATCCAGGGATTGGGCAGCCAGGCGGCCAGCCAGCAGCAGGACTCGGCGAGACTCTGCAGCCATGCGGGTGTCCAGGGCCTTCAGGTACTTGGCCAGGGCCTGGGTGGTGACACCACCCTTAGAGTTGGCGGTGTAGTCACAGGGCAGGCCTGCTTGGCCTGCACGGGGCTTGGCGGACTTGCCGGCTACAAGCGGGGGCAGCTTCTCGCTGCCATCTGCGTTGGCGCACAGCAGGACACTCAGGCGCTGGGTGGCCCTTCGCGCCCTTCCGTCGCTGCCGCAAAGCCCTGCAGCCTGGTCTGGCAGGAAGTCGTACCATAGACTGGTCTCAGTGGCGCAGAACACGTCCTGGGAGGCGTAGCCCTCAGCCACGGACGGCGGCTGTTCCTCCCGAGCGCGCCAGCCCGTCGAACCCCCGCCGCTGCCCTCCGACGGCACTGCAGGCGGGCTGGTGGGTGCCACTGAGGGCCGTGGGGCAGTGCTGCGAGACCGGGAGCGGGCCACGCCACTGCAGGACACCACACCGTGGCGCCGGCGGAAGCGGTCTAGCCAGCCGTTGGAAGCGGTGAAGTCGTCCATGCCCAGCTCCTCGGCTATACGCAGCGCCTTCTCCTTGAGGATGATGCCCTTGACGGGCAGGCCAGCGGCACGGATCTGTTGGAACCAGGCGATGAGCAGCCCCTCGAGCTTGTCGTAGGGGGACAGCTTGTTGGTCTTGCGGCAGGTGGAGGCCACACCGTACTTGCGCTCCGACGCCAGGATGGCGCGCTTGTTCTTCAGGATGGTGCTCAGCGTGGACGGCGGGATGTTGAAGCGCCGCGCGATCTCGCCCTTGCGCAGGTCCGGGTTCTCCTCCACCTCCTGGATGATCCGCGACTTCTCCCGGAACGTCAGCTGCCGCCGCTTGGGGCCCATCCCGGCGCGCCCCCCGCCCCGGGGCCCGGCGCCACCGCCGCCGCCCCGGGGCGGGGGTCCCGGGCCCGCGGCGGGGGGCACCTGGCGGCCTCCTCCGCGCGCCCCGCCCGAGACAAAGCGGCTCGCGGAGCGGCGGGTTGGGTAGCGACCCGGCTGGGCCGGGGGCACCTTCGAGAGTGCCGGCGGGCGCAGCGCTGAGCTGCGAGCGGCAGTCGGCGGGCGCGGACGGCGAGCGGCGCGGGCACGGAAGCCAGGAAGTGTCGCGGCGCGGGGAGCGGGGGAACGCGGCGAGCGGGGCGGAGCGGGCGGAGCGGGATCTCGCGGGAAGCTCGGGGACGCGCGGTACCGCCTTTCCACCCTCCGCGCCCACCCCTCCTCCCCGCAGCCCCGGACGACCGCGGCGAGGCGCTGTGGCCTGTGGGACCTGCCTGAGCGCGGGCACCGGGTGACCTGGGGCAAGGGCGCTGACAGAGGCTCAGTGCTTGGCCTTCGCTACGGGTGGGCAACTATTTACTACTTATAAAGAATAACAACTATGTTTTGTGGTTCCTGTTTTATTAAGGTAAAAATGACCCACTTTTCTTGCGGAAACTGAAAAATACAGGAAACTGAAAATCACCTTTTACAACAGCTGGAGAGATGCGCAGGTAACATTTTGATACGTTTCCTTCCAGTCTTTTATCTAGGCATATGCAGTTTTCCTTTTAAAAATTTATTGCATAAAACTGCCATCAGGCTGTATAGACTATATCTGGCATCTCCTGCTGTTACCTGGCATCAAGTGATGAGAATTTTGTCATTATCAATAAAGTATTGCCAGCACACTTTCTAATGGTTGTGTATTGTTCCAGTTGTGGATGAACATTAATCTGTAGCCTGTTGTTACACATTTAGGTTATTTTTATAAGTTTTAAACCTGTTTGATGGTAATCCCACAATCCATAAACTGATAACATCTCATTGTGTCACTTTCTGGGCTTTTCCATGCATATAGCCATAAATGTATGTGCACCCACAGAAATAATGCTATGTGTATATATGAGGATACATACATATGAGCCCCTGAAACCACCTTCACCAAACACAATAAAAATGACCAATTCTTAAAATAATGAATATATTGCACTGTTTTTAAAAATCTCTTAGAGTAGCATGAGCAGACAGAGAGGAAGGCTGTGACCCAGAAGGACAGGCTGGGGACCTGGGACTGGATGAGGCTTCAAGTAAGTGGGTGTGGACAAAGATGAAAAGAATACCAAGGACAGTGTGCTGGTTAAGTCCAAGATTAAAGGCCCAAGAAGGACTAACAAGAAACTCATGAGGAACAGCAGAAGTGGTGAGAGAAAAATCAAACAACTATGCCGTTCTGAAAGCCAGAAGAAACTGTAATGACACACTGTTGTTTTAGTGTGTATTTCTCTCCATATATGTATTGGCAATTTGAATCATATGAATTTTCAAGATAGATTCTTTGCCCATGTTTCTCTTGTTTTTGTCTTTTTGTTGACTTTTAGGAGCTGTTCATATGCTCTGAACATAAAATCTTAAATATATTGCAACCACTTGTCCTTTAGCTTAGACTAGGGAGTCTTAGATATGATGTTTTTAATCTCTAAGTAAGCAGGTTTGTCAATTTTTTCCTTTATTGCTTCTGAGTTTTGTGTCTTACTTAGACTAAAGGCCTTTCCCATCCCTGAGATAATAAAAAATATTCCTCTAATCACAAGGTTCAGAAGAAAATATGGGAGACAGGGGGCCAGATTAGTGCTTGGCCCATAATGGGTGTATATGGCCCTGTGCAAAGGTGAATGTAGGTTCATCCAGTTGAGGACTCCTTCCTGCACATCTTCAGGAAACTGAGTCTACATTTTGGAGGTTATAACCATAGATACATATATCCCTCATGCCTGTCACCCATCCTGGATCATAAACAGTGGGTGCTGGGATAAATGGATGGTGGGTGGGCTTTTTTTTTTTTTACTTTCCTGAATTTTCCAGGTGTTTTACCAATAACCAGGTACTACAGACCCTTTAAAATGAAAATGAGCAGGCCAGAAGGGAATGGCATGATATATTCAATGCAAGGAAACAGAAGGGCCTTGAACCAAGAATACTGTATCCAACAAGATTATCATTTAAATTTGAAGAAGGGATTAAACAATTTTCAGATAAGCAAAATTGAAAGAATTTACCTCCCACAAACCATCTCTACAATG